CAGCGTCGAAAATTGGTCGCACACAATTTTGCTTTTTTTGAAAACAAAAAGTACAGAATTAAAATAAGATTTACTTTGTAAATTGTAGTTCTTTTCACGCTGCATCTCCTGGTATATTTTGCTTTTTAAAACAACGTATTAAGTGATGCAAAAATGAAATGGAAAAAGGCCGTTTTTTTTGTCTGAGGGAGATTATACAGAATTTTCGAAAAATTTTTTTGACTTTTGTGTAAAATATGTATGTTTTTTAAGTAATTATTAATGATCCATCTCAGTTTCAGAAACCATAAGTATTGTTTAAGTCAGTTTGAAACTCCAAAAAAATCAAGTCCGTGTTTATGAAATGGTCAAAATGGATCATTTTTGCATCGAAACGCATTTTAGTGCCTATTTTACCATTATTCTCTAAAAAAGATGCATTTTAATGGTCGAAATGGTCTGGCTATGGATAATAATGCATTTTAATGACTATTTCCCCATTATTCACTTGGTAGGGCAGTATTATGTTTATCTAGAATAATTTATAATTCTGTCTTGGCATCGAGCAAAAGAATAAGATTAAAAATGGCACATATGGTTTGATTTCTATGGGATAAATGTATATTTAAATGGCAAAGAAAAGAATACGACACGAACAAATCCCCATTAACTCTTCGTAGCTGACCTGGGGTTCGAACGGACCCACTTTGCAGTTTTTCGTGTATTACTCCATTAATACTTCCTGTTTTCGACCATTGTCCTTCTCTAATCTCTAGTCTAATGCTAGTGCATACATGTATAAAAGAGTTGAAGAAAACACTATTAATCACGTTTGATGTTTTTTTATAGATAGATCTGCGCGGACCCCAGGACAGCTACATAGTTACAAAATCGGGACAGCTACGAAGAGTTAATTAGATAAAAATAAAAGAATAATAATCATATTATTATTGTTCATATCTATAGTGTTCAATAAAAATATCTACAGAAAAAAAAGGAGAGTAGTTGGCAAAGATAACTTAGAAAAAAAAATGAATGGGATAAAACTGATCATATCACACGTAAATACAAGAGAATATATATGTACGTGTGTAAATGTGTTGATATGTGATATAAAAAAGGAAGAAGAAAGTGTGAGATTATACTTCATAGAATTATTTTTTTACCTTTTAAAATAATTAGTTCAATGGACCAGCATTAATTAGAACAGGGACATAAGTTTTATTTGCATGAGAAAGTGAAAATGGTATTCACAAACAAAAACGAAAGGATGTAGTCATTCACACTTGCAAAATTTTAAGAAAAAAACAACCAAAGATACTGTATAAATTCTGCAGATCATTATTTTCCAGCTTAATTCAATTGAAAAACAAATAAAAACAAAGAATGAAGACTAAAAGATTATAAATGCAAACAGTAGCATTATTCTTTGATTGTCATTTGTTCTGGCAATATAAAGTAAAACAAAAATTCACAGGAAAAAGTAAGAGAAAGCGGAAGAACTCGCTTATAAAGAAGAAAAAAGGAGCTCAATGAGAGATTATAGTGTTCAAAACAGCACCACATTATGTATATAATACATAAAATAAAGAAAATCTAAGAAGAATGAAATGATATATTCTATGTCGCAAGCGCAGAAAGTCAACAGAGTACATGATGAGTGTACTGTTGTTGTAAAAATACAGAGCAGAAGGTGGAGATAGTGTTGCGGTTTTCTCATTAACAACACCAATACCATTACTATTTCCACATAGTTCAACAGATGATGATTCTGAAACTGGAAGTAATATACGGACTTATTATTTGTGCATGTTGATGATATGGTTGTTGTAATGTTGATAATGATGATGGTGATTGTGTTGTACCAGTTGTTGTTAATAATGTTGTCGTAGGATTTGTTCTATTTAAAACTTGACAAGCTACTGCTGTCGTATATTGTTGAGCTAATTGACTTACATTTAACATGGTTGCTGTTGAAGCTAAATTTATTTTATTATTAAATATTTGAAAAAACAAAACTAATTATTCAAGTATATACTTGGAAGATGAATAGCACCATTATTTATTGCAGAAGGTGTTGTCAATGGAGCTTCAGTAAGTGTCATTATTGGTGAACCGTAAATATTTGGAATATCTGTCAAATATCTTGCATCAATTGAAATAGGTTCATTAGAATTTTCACTTGGTAGTAATATTGGATTTGCATAATCTCGACTTTTATCATGTTTATATTTGACATTTAATGAATGTAATTTAGAAAAATCAAAAATCAATTTGTAATGTACAACAACCATTATAAATATTTTGACCATTTAAACTCTTTAGAAAAAAAATTATTTCTATGATTGATAAAAATATCTTTGAATGTTTTTTTTACTAATTTTGCCGATTGTGCAGTTGCTGCATCATTCATTTATATTAAACCTTGAAATTTAGGGTGTGGGCGTGGTGGTGGGTGTCAAACGAATACTACACCCACAACCACCAACACCCACACATAACAATAAGTGTTCATTGTTACAATAATGAAACTGACTTGAGTTTCGTTAATAATTTAGCTTCCGACCACGGTATACTTGGTTTTAGCAAAGTTTTATGTACGAGCAACATAAGCGTAGAATGAATATCTGTTTACCAAGACTCAATACAAAATAATTTTACCTGACTCAAAATACCTCATTCGATGCAGTTTTTAATGTTGATTTTGAATCTAAAGCTGATTTTTATTGTTGATCGCAAAATATTAGAGCAAACAGTTGAACAATATAAAACTCCCACTACAAAAACTGTAAAAACAGCAGCATTGTTTTCGTTTTTCTTCCTACTTTCATAGAAAATGATACTCCCATAAAAAGTTATTTATATAGGTCGATAGAGCAGAAGCTCCTCTATCGAAGTGTATATCGGGCTTTCTGCGCGAATTCCATTTTTGAATGGCATGATAAGCAAAAATTTTCGCACGTTTTGGCTACTGAGCGGAAAAGAGTAGCTGGTGAGGTTCTAGTAAAAATAATGTAAATTTATCTTGAAAAGTAGATGACCTTGAAGATTTTTTCATGCTCTACACGAATCTGGAGTTCAAATTTCGATTAGAAAAAAAAGTTAGATTCACATTGGCCAAAATAATGAAAACGATCACATTTGAAGTCGAGAAAATAATCAAAATGCGTATTTTCGTATTTTGTGAGTTTCTCTCTTATTGTAAGATCAATGGTAGACTTCTTTGGTAATTAAAAGGATCAGCGTAAAAAGTTCTATCCAATGATACTATTTGAAGACTAATCGAAGATGACATATGTAACGGGGGGAGGAACCCCATGGAATTATCCAAGTATTTTATGGAATCCGAATCTATGAAAAGTTTAGCTGACAAAATAGGTCTCACTTGACTCGACTGTTATTGTCAAATCCTGAGGAGTATCAAGTTAAAAATGATTTACATCAAGAACAATTCATCTTTGAAATGACTTATCCAGTATTTGAGCTGAAAAATGTGACGAACTATATACAGCAGTTCTCTTTTTCTTCCAACAGCTTTTGATCATACATTTTTAAGGTAAGCCAAACAAGCATCGTTGAACCATAGCAGAAATATGAAAATAAGAAAGTTTCTTATCAATCACGTTAGCTGTTTTGTCTATATGAACAATTAGTGACTGTCAATACTCTGTTAATGCTGGTTGAGAACAGCTCACCGATTGATGTGTGTAAGTTTTCGTTATGACTGGTCTACACTTCTTTGGTCTTTTTAGAAACTTTATCATATTCATATATATCCATCGACTGTTCCTTTAATTTTTGTTCCTTTNCACACATAACAATAAGTGTTCATTGTTACAATAATGAAACTGACTTGAGTTTCGTTAATAATTTAGCTTCCGACCACGGTATACTTGGTTTTAGCAAAGTTTTATGTACGAGCAACATAAGTGTAGAATGAATGTCTGTTTACCAAGACTCCATACAAAATAATTTTACCTGACTCAAAGTGCCTCATTCGATGCAGTTTTTAATGATGATTTTGAATCTAAAGCTGATTTTTATTGTTGATCGCAAAATATTAGAGCAAATAGTTGAACAATATAAAACTCCCATTACTAAAAATGTAAAAACAGCAGCATTGTTTTTGTTCTTCTTTCTATTTTCATAGGAAATGATACCCCCATAAGAAGTTATTTATATAGGTCGATCGAGCAGAAGCTCCTCTATCGAAGTGTATATCGGACTTTCTGCGCGAATTCCATTTTTGAATGATATGATAACCAAACATTTTCGCATGTTTTAGCTACTGATCGGAAAAGAGTAGCTAGTGAGGTTCCAGTAAAAATAATTTAAATTTCCCTTGAAAAGTAGATGACTTTGAAGATTTTTCGATGCTCTACATGAATCTGGAGTTGAAATTTCGATTAGAAAAAATAGTCAGATTCACATTCGCCAAAATAATGAGAACGATCACATTTGAAGTCGAAGAAAATAATCAAAATGCGTATTTTCGTATTTTGTGAGTTTCTCTCTTATTGTACGATCAATGGTAGACTTCTTTGGTAATCAAAATGATCAGCGTAAAAAAGCTCTATCCAATGATACTATTTGAAGACTAATCGAAGATGACATATGTAACGGTGGGAGGAACCCCATGGAATTACCCAAGTACTGTATGAAATGCGAATCTATGAAAAGTTTAGCTGACAAAATAGGTCTCACTTGACTCGTCTGTTATTGTCAAATCATGAGGAGTATCAAGTTAAAAATGATCTACATCAAGACCAACTCATCTTTGAAATGACTTATCCAATATTTGAGCTGAAAAATGTGACGAACTATATATAGCAGTTCTCTTTTACTTCCAACAGTTTTTGATCATACAATTTTAAGGGAAGCCAAAAAAGTATCGCTAAACCATAGCAGAAATATGAAAATAAGAAAGTTTCTTATCAATCACGTTAGCTGCTTTGCCTATATGAATAATTAGTGACCGTCAATACTCTTAATGCTGGTTGAGAACAGCTCACCGATTGATGTGTGACAGTTTTCGTTATGATTGGTCTACACTTCTTTGGTCTTTTTAGAAACTTTATCATATTCATATATATCCATCGACTGTTCCTTTAATTTTTGTTCCTTTAAGTGTATGTGAGAAT